CATGGGGATGGATAAAAGGCTTCAAGCTGTGGGGCCCTTCCCCTTCCCCATCACTTTATGCTCTTAAAACCCTCCAAGGGGCTCTTATCCCCATTCTCCACCATTGAGAGCCCCTTCTCATGCTCTGGCTGGGCTGAAACAAGCAGAATTGCTGGAGGGGTGGGGGCCGGCTCGGGGAGCAGGGCTGTCGGTTACATTTTCAGCATGTTTCCCCAAATCCTTCCCCAGCTAGAGCCCATTTTATGGATGGGTAAACTGAGAGCAGAGGGAGGTGGTGATCCTCCATCCCTGGTCACCCTTCAGTAGCATCCTGAGCAGGGAGGTAGCTCCATGCTCTGATTAAAAAAAACAGGGATGGGGAAAAGGCGGGAGGGAAAGAAAGGGGAAAAAAAATGTGAGAGAGCCTGAAAAAAGCTGGTGACAGTTTAATGGGGCTGCTGATGAAATAATGACTGTTTTAAAGTCTGCTGGAGTGTGGCTGCGCCTCTATTAAATCTGGGAGCTGATAATCTGCTGAGTTCATTACCACGGTGGGGGGAAAAGCAGCCGCTCGGCAGGACGTGGTGCGGGATACACGTGGGGGACACAGCTGGCCTGGTACAGGGGGGCCCGTGGGGACAACTCATACGTGTGCCATGGGATGTCTGCGGCATTGCACCGGGCTGCTGGCATTGCCCGGCTCCCCCTTAGGGTACCCAAGATGAGGATGGGGCAGGCACCCCAGGAATGGCAGCATCCTGGGCAAGCATTTCCCAGGGCAGGCAGCACACGCCTGCCATGCTCTCGGGTGCAGCCCTCACATCCCCACCGCTCGCCCACCCGGGACCCGTGGGAGCTGGTTGGGGCTGTTTCAGGAGGGGCCGGGGCCACGGCACGGCCCTGGGGAGCAGGGGAGCATTGCTCAGAAAAGCAAACACTGGGTTAAAATAGACCCATAGCAGTGTATTTTATATACTCTGCACACTACGGGGCTGAGGGGTGCCCTGTGCCTCAGTTTCCCCCTCTGCAAAGGGATGAGCCCTCAGGGACTTGCCCTCCACCAGCTGAGGGCAGAGGAAAGCCGGGGGCTGGCTTCAAGCCCTCGAGCATCGTCCTTGGTGGCATGCAAGTTCCTGGTGTGTGCTCTGTGCCACCTCGGCAGTATCTCTTGCCTGGCAATTACCTAATCCGTGTGTTTGACACACAAAATCACTGACGCTCTTGGCACCGCCAGACCACAGGCAAGAGCAGGGATGCCACCGGTTCAGCCACGTGCCGAGGGCTCCCGCACCCCGGGAGGAGGCACCGGGTTCCAGCCGGCAGCTGCGGAGGGGCTAGAAATCACCCTCACGTGCTAAAACACTGCCGATGTCAGGAATTTATTAAGTTGTTTGTAAATGACTCCACAATTAATCACTTGTCTGTACAAGGTATCACATGGCGCTCGCCTCCGCAGCTCTATATATAGAGGGGAGGTGTAGGTAGGCTCCATCCATCCCGCTCTTGAGAGACAGGCTCTTGGCTGGGCTTCCTCCCATGACAGGGCCAAGGCTGAGCACACACCAGCTCGGTGCAGCTGTGGAGCTGCTGCCCCAAAGCGCCCTGGCCCCTTCATGCCTTCCCTGGGCTCGGGGACGTTAGGGCAGGGGGTCCCCAGCATCCCTGCTGCATCCCAGCAGCTCCTGCCTGCTCCCCTCAGGTGGTCCATCGGGAGCTCCTTGCCCATTCTTTCCCCAAGGATGGAGATGAAGGGAACCCCAAATCTCATGCTCGTGGGATCCAGGACACTATGGAAACCATAGGTATTGATGTTGGGGCATCAGCCCCAGGCCAAGCCATGGCTGCGGCTCGGAGCATCTTCTCTGTGCAACATGAGCCAGGCTGCAGCGCAGCCCCAGAGCATGAGCTGCCCTCGGGGGGACAAGGCCAGCCCCGAGGAGCTACGCTGGGGTCCGCTCCCCTTTCTGGGGGCTGCGCTGCTGCGTCTCCCACCGTGTGCAGCCCTCGAGGGCAGCGCCGACACCGAGGGCACGCCGCAGAAACCCGGCGTACGCGCGGACACCGAGCGCCTGGTCAGACACTAAATGCACGTGCAAACGCCCCACGCGTGCGCAGACTGCGTGTGTGTGTGTGCAAACTGGGAGTGCACAAGCACATGCAGACACCAAGCACGTTGCGGACGAGCATGTGTGTGGGCTGAGCGCACATGCAACACTGAGCGCCCGCTGCAGACATCGAGGGCATGTGCAAAAACGCAGGCACTGAGCGCATGTTACAGACAGTGGGCACGCTGCAGACACTGAGCATGTGTTGCATGCACTGAGCGCACGTTGTGTACACTGAGCACACATTACATACACAACAGCCATTAGCGGGAGCTCAGCTGGTTTGGGGGCCAAGAAGATCTTGCTTGGCTCCTAGAACAGGGCAGCGTGAGAGTGGCTGGCTGTCCTGGTGATGAAAAGATGAGAAGAAGGACAGATGGACAAGGGCACGACTGGAGGGACAGGTAGGCTGCTGATGGGTGGGTGGAGGGGTAGAGGGGTGGTGAGATGGATAGATGAATGGATGGATGAATGGATGAATGGGGGATGGATGGATGGATGAGTGTCTGGACAAAGCTGAGCACTAATGGCATTTCATGGCGCATCACTGGGCTTTGATGTCAGGCACCCGCTCCCCTGCAGGGCGCTCTGCCTGCAGAGCCTGGCGCACCAGCAGCCCCATGGGACCACCCGGCACAGCAGAAAGGGAGAGGGGTCACGGGGCCGGGGGTGGCAAAGGTTCTTCCCCCCTCCCCAACACCCGGGTCCTCACCCAGGCACGGCGACCAGGGGCCCGAGCCACACGCAGGCAAAGCCGAGGCGTGCGGGGGGGTGGTGTCGTGGGGCGGTGGGGATGCGGGTGCCTGCCCTCCATCTCCCATCTCGGCCGCTCCACCACCCCTTGCAGCGCCGCGGGTGACGCCGCCAGCACCACTGCCGCAAACCTGCAGCCCCGCCAGCGCCTGCAGGTGATTGACAGCCTTCTCCCACACATGACTCACCGCCCGGCCCCCCCGGGGGGGCTCATCGCATGGAGGGGACCGTGGGACACCCCCACCCAGGGCCACTGCAGGCAGCTCAGCGGGCAAGCGATGCTCCCAGCCCCCTGCATCCCTGCACCCCTGGGGACGTGGACCAGGCAGAGGGACAGCTACCTCCTGCCACCCAGGCTGAGCTCCAAGGACGCTCCCAGCAAGGACAGCTGCGAGGTGGAGCTCCAATAGTTTTCATGGCAAGGGCCAAGGTTGTGGACAGCAGCAGGCAGTGGTCATGCGTGGCATCAGCCACGTGCTGTGGGGCTGACACGGGTGTCGGGGAGGAATTCCTGGGGGTGCCGTGCTCCGAGGAGCCTGCTCTGCCTGCGCAGAGCGTAAATAGGCAGCTCCTTACCTCTGGCATTCAAATGCCCATGGTGCCTCATGCTGCAGGGCACCACTCCCTGAAACACACCTGCAGACGTGTCCTTGTGCATGCACATGCACACACATGCTTGCACACGCACCTTCCTGCATGCACATTCATCCTCCCCATGACAGCGGCTGTTATGGAGCAGCACCAAGTGGCTGTAGGTTTAACATGGGTTTGGCTGTGGGTTTAGGCTGGGCTTGGCCATGGGTTTAGGGCGGATTTGGCCCTGGGTGTAGCATGGGGTGGCCATGGCCACAGCAAGCACAGGGCTGTGGGATGCATTGCCGAGCAGGACCTGGCACACAGGCTGCACCCTGGGCTGTACCCAGCACCCTGCACCAGCCCCACGCAGCCCCTGGCGGGTGCCCCCAGCAGTCCCCAGGGCAGTGCCCATCTCACTGCCCCCCCCACCCAGCCACAGTGACCCACAGTAGCAGTCCAGCCCGGCCCTCCTGCCCCCCCACACCCGCTCCGCTGCTCCCCATCTCCCTGTGAAGGAACATGCCACCACTCCTGGGCATGTCCCCAGGGCCGCTCCGGTCCTTGCTGGCACCCAGGGAAGCAGAGCCGTCCTGCGAGCGGCAGATGCGATGCCACGGGAAGGTGGGTGCAGGCAGGGGAACTCCAAACGCTCACCCCCCCCAGCAGCCACCTTCCATCCCAGTGTGCCAACACCTCAGCACTGGCACAGCATCCCAGCGGCATGGGCAGGGCTCGGTGATCCCGGGGCTGGGCACGGCAGAGAACCGTCGAGACTGGGGTGCCACCACTCTGTCCCCAAAAGCGGCTTGGCAGCTCGCTGCCTGCTCTGTGGCATCACCCATGGGCTCACCAGCTCCCGCTGTCCCCCACCCCGTGTGGCCGGCAGAGACACGGACACCTCCACACCATTTCCCCGAGACCTTTAATATCATCGAGAGGTGGCAGCGGGAAGTGGGGGCAGCTCCTGCTGCCCCCCATCCTGTCCCCCCCGCTCAAGTAGAGGCTGGAGCTGGAGGGGGACAGAGGCCAGATACACCCCCTCCCCAATTTGGGGGGCTGCAGAGGGTCTTGACGCCCTGCCCAGCATGGAGGGGACCCCGGGGATGGGGCCCCCCCCCCCCCAGGAGTGATGGGAGCACCATGATGCTGGTACCCAGAGCCGGGCGTGCATCCCATGGGAAGGGCTGCTCCCGCCTGCCTTGTCATTTTAAAGATGAGAGACTTAAAAAATAGAGGGAGGAGGAGGAAAAGCAAGAGCCTCCGGCCGCAGCCTTCGTCCTGCGGCTGTGCCGGGGTGGCCGGCCGGGCTCTGCCTCTCTGCCTGGAGCTCGGAGCAGAAGCGGCAGCCGAAAGCAGCCGGGGCGTGGGGTGCGGGGTCGGATGGGCTGGCACTGCCCGGTCCCCGTGGGCTGCCTGGCTGTGGCTCCCGAGACCTGTTCCGCCGGCGGGTGGGTGGCCTCGCTGCCGTTTCCCCTCCTGGCTGCCCATGGGTCACCACGGGGGGAGGCGAGAGGGCCTTGGCGGAGGCTCCGGAGCCAGCGGGAACCCCGGCAGGTGCCGAGGTGCAGGGCTGGCACAGCTCCCCGAGGGCTGCCCCACTTGCGGACGAACCTGCAGCACAAGCGGAGAGCAAAGGGTCGGTGAAGGGGAGGGGGCTGCCATATCTGTCCCCCTCCCACCTTGCAGGGGGATATGCGTGGGTGGGGGGGCACAACCGTGCGTGCGTGCGTGCATGCATGTGCCCGGGTCCCCAAGCCAGGGTGGCAATGCGACAGCCAAAGCCATCGGCTCCCACCTCCCGCTGCCTCCCCTGCCTGCGTGCCGGGGCTGGGGCAGGGGCTGCAGGCAGGGAGGGATGCTCACCCAGCGTGTCAGGCTTCCAGCTCAGACGTTTCGCAGGAGCTGGGGACAGAGAGCAGACACGTTAATCCTCAGCCTCCTCCGTGTCTGGGCATCACCGGCAGCACCGTGCCCGGGGGGGGGAGGCAACAGGGGATGGGGGAGAAAACCCAGAGGAAGGGGAACCGTGATTCCCAGCACATCCTCCCAGCTGCGGTGCCAGCCACCCCATCCCACGCTGGGACCGCGGTGGGGAGGACGCCCACAGCACTGTCCCCTGGGAGCCCCGGGGTGCTGGTCCCTTGCCCTGGACCACGCCAGCCGCTGCTCCATGGCCTTGGGGTGCAGAGACCCCCCTGCCAGGGGCGGGGGTCTGAGCTCGGACCGGAGGAGCGGGCAGGGACGTCCGTGCCTCGCATGCTGGCACACGCACACCGCAAAGCACAGCCCACCGCAAAGCCCCGGAGGAGCTTCCCCGCTGCTGATCCCCCTCCTCGTTATAAACCTGAGCCTGGGTGGGGGTCCTGGGGCAGGGCTCCCCGGCAGACCTGATCCCAGGGGACAGGCACAAGGCAGGGGCCACCGGAGCGGTGACGGTGCTGCTCCCAGCCCTTGGGGCACCCTTGGACACCCATTGGGCAACGCACAACCAATGCTGGTGGTAGGATCTTCCCCCCCCGTCCCCGTCCCCGGCACAGCAGCATCCTCAGGTTTATAACAGCAACAAGGGCCCAAGGGATCGGCTCGGGCGCGGTGGGACCGGAGCAGCTCTGTCCCACCACCGGCCGGCCACACCAGTGGGCCCTGTGGCTGAGCAAGGCTCCGACACCCACGGCCAGCACCGGGGTGGCGGGGGGATGCCCAGTGTGCGACAGCCCCCGGGGAGGACGGCTGTTGCACAGACAGACAGAAGGACAACAGGAGGGGGGGACTGATTTTGTGATCGGGGTGGCATTTCAGAGAAACCCACCCCTGTTATAGGAAAAATCAGGAGCCTGGCAGCATCCCCTCTTCTTGCATCACACGGTTTGGGACACCCCTGCACCCAGGAGACCACCCACAGGCCCCGATGCCGGACAGAGCACCCCAAGGATCAGTCACTCCCCCCCAAACTCTCTCTGGGGTGACCAGAGGCTGATACTGGTACATAAGGAATGGGAGCAGGGACACCACTCTCCCCTCCCCAAGTTTGAGGACCAGGACCCCCCAGTGTGTGATGCAGGGGAGATGCAGCCCCCACGCAGAGGGACAACCCCCCCCCCAGCACCCCCGTCTCACTCACGGTTAGCGGGTCAGTAGCAAAAGCAGCCACACTGTTCCTCATCTCACTCTCATTGCCCCGCAGTGGGATGAGGGAGATGTTACCCAACCTGGAGTCCTGCTGCGACCGCGACGCCCGCACCTTGGAGGTCTCCGAGGGCCACAGGGCCCCGCCGTTCTGGGGACAGAGGGGACAGGGGGTGAAGGAGGGCTGGAGACTGACTTTTTGGTCCTCAGCCACCCGGGGATCTCTCCTCCGCCCTGGGTTGCCGGTATTTAGGGATGCTTGGATACCCCGAAGGGTTTCTGCTAGCCAAGCATCCCTCCGAGCCCAGCTCTTGGAGGACGGCGTGCAGTCCTGTGCCCACTGCCTGCCTGCGGGCAGCCTGCCCGATCCCTACCTGCACGTGGAGGAAGGTGGCAAACCACTCCCGGAGATCGGCCTGGGTGTCACAGCACAGGTACCTGCGGGGACACGGCGTCAGCGGCCAGCGGGGACGGCGGGGAGGGACACACGGCTGCTCCGGGTTCTGTTGGGGATGGAGCCGGCGCCCCAGCCGCTGCTTTGCATGGGGTCTTGCAGATCTCAGGGGACCAAAGTGGACAAGGGTGACAGCCACGGACACCGGTGGTACCCTGAGCAGGTCCACGGGCGCCCAGACAGGCTCTGCCCACAGAAATCCCCATCTACACCCTCTGCGGTGAAGGTATGCCGGCTCCGGAGAGCAGCTGCCCCGGCAGCGTGTCCGTCAGTCCTGGGGGATTAGTTTAGTGTTACTGTGTCCACCCCTTCCCTTACCATTGTTGCTTCTCGTGCTTCTCGTTCTCGTAGAAGACCGTAAAGCCCCAGCTGGAAGGGGAGAAGTGAAACCATGAAGGCGAACGCCACCCTCGGCTCCACCACTCCAGGTACCAAAGTACCCCAGCAAAGCCCCCGTCCCTGCAAACCCCCCCAATCCTACAACCACCTGCACCCCTACAACCACCCACGTCCCTGCATGCCACCCTCCTCCTTGCAAGCCACCTGTACCTCTGCGAGCCACCTGCATCCTTGCAAGCTGCCTCCAGCCCTGCAAGCCCCCGCAGCCCTCCACTGCTGGGTGCCCAGGACAGGTTCCCATCGGATTTATCAGCTCGACGCAATGCTGCGCAGCGATTCAGGGCCAGTAAAGCAGCGGGCAATGGCCCTGAGTCCTTCCCAGTTTGCACCAGTTTGCAGTCCAGCAGGACAGGCACAGGTGCAGCTATCTGAGCCAGTCCTTTTGCTGATGATATTTCTTTCGTGGTCATGCTCTGTCACCTTTCAGCTCCCGCCTGGCCTCAGCTATGCCCAAATGTCCCTGCAATGCCTGGCCAGGGCACCAGCCATTGCGCAGTGCTGGGGGGAGCCCCCCCTGGCCCCAGCCCTGACCCAAAGCCCCAGCTGCTGCTAGCCCACCCCAAGACCTGCAGCAATGCTGCCTGGCACTGTGGCACACACCCAAACCCCTGGGGGTCAGGGTCACGGCCTTGCACGCTCACGTGCATACACACATGTACACATGTATGTACACACAGGTTTCCTGCCCCCACAGTGCAGAGTGGCCCTGGAGCATGGGGATTGGAAGCCTCCCAGCAAGCCTGCGTGGCTCGTCACATGTGCTCACATGCACACACAGACATGCGCTTGCACTCATGTGCACACGCATGCACATGCTCACATGTATGCATGTGCATGCACACACTCACATGCACACACCCATAGACCCGCACACATGCGTGTGTGTACTCAGATGCACACAGATGCCGCCATGCATGCACACACACAACTTGCTGACGTGCATACACACACACACATGCCCATGCACTCATATGCACACACATGCACACTGACATGCATGCACACACACATGTACGCAGCTCGCTGACATGCACGCACCCATATGCACACACTCACATGCACTCACGCAGGCTGCAGAAGCGTCCTCCGAGGCTGCTCTGACATCTGGTGGCAAAAGGCACGGCCAGCAGGAGATGTGTCCCAGCAGCCAAAACTGTCCCTGTCCCCATCCCTGTCCCTATCCTGATCCCCATCCCCATCCATCCCCACGCTCATCCCTGTCCCCATCCTCATCCCTGTCCCCAGCCCAGCAGGGCACCACGTTGCTGCTCACCACGTTGGGGGCCGAAGTTTCTTCTTCATGCCCAGGTAGACCTTCAGGTTCCTGACGGGCCACTCCTTCTCCGGCTTGTGGCTCTGGGGGAGAAGAGCGACCCAGCACCGGGTTGGGGGCTGCCGGACCCTTCGCCACCCGTCCCCCCCCACTCTAGCCCACACCGTGCCGGGATGGGGTTTGTCCCCCCAGCAGGCAGGGAGGAGAAGCTGTAGGGATGCGGTGACGGGGAAGGGGAAGGGGCTCAGCCCAGGTCTGGGCTTGATGAGGGCAGAGCGGGTGCCCATCGCCCACGGCAGAGGCCACGGGTAGAAAGGAGGGGACACAGGAGGGCTCTCCCTGCGGCGGGGTCCCTCAGAGATGGTGCCAGTTGCCTTCGGAGCTGGGACCAGCACTGGCACGCTGTGATGGGGTCTCGAGAGCCTGGCACTAGATGTCCCCTGTGGGGACGCCCACATCATGTCCCTCCTCAGCATCACAGCCACGGCAGCAGTAGCCGCAGCCCCGCTCTGCTGGCAGCTCTCTGCCCCGACCACATCCCCAAATGTCCCACCACCGGCACGCCATGGTGGGTGGGCACCTCTCTGCGGTGGGTGAAGATGGGTGCCCTGACTCCCTTGTCCCACTTAGGCTGTGCTGGGCTCCCCCCTGCATCGGAGCATCCCTTTTGGGGTGCTGGCTGTGAGCTGCACCCTTCCTCACCAAACAGCCTCCCAAGGGGAGGGATGGGGGGAAAACGGGATGTCCCGGCAAAGCCAGGGCACCACCGGTGCCAGCAAGCTCCTTCCCCGTCGTCTGTGCCATGGCAGCCAGCCGGTGCAGACATCACCCTTTGCTGGCAGACGTTTTGAAGGGCCAAAGCCCCGCAGCTCCCTCCCCTCTTGCCTGGGACCTCCCCGATGCTGGCTGCACCTCGCCATGCCACACAAGCCATGCCCTGGCAGCGGCCGACATGACGGGGACCCCCCCACCCTGTACAGCTGCCCACCTGCGTTCGCGTGCAAGCGGCATGACTTACAAGAGCCCAATCCAATGCCCATGGGATGGGGGAGCCAGCTCAGCCCGTCCCCTCTGTACAGCATCGGCCCCTTCCCCTTCCCCATCCCCATCTCCAGTTGCCTGGAGCAAAGGGCAGCGGTACCCCCAAATCGGAGGAGCCCGGATTACAGGGGTGCAAGCTGATGCACCCCCAATGCCGGGGGCTAACGTGGAGGGGTAGCAGCACGGGGGCAGCTCCAGCACAGGCAGCATCCCATTGCCTCGGGCTGCTGCATCCACGAGCGCGCGGTGATCGGCACACGCGTGCTGCGGGATTGGATTTGGGATTGACCCCAGGCAGCCTTGTAAGGGCAGAGGGCGCGGGAGCCCCTACGCGCCTCGGCTGAGCCCCCCAGGCTCCTCTACTCACGTTCTCCAAGAGGGGGGTCCGCTGCTTCAGGCTCTGTTCAACAGATGACGGGGGTTAAAGCAGATGCAGAGGACGAGCCGCAGTGGGAGGAGAGGGGACAACCTCCCTGCAGACCCTATGCTGCCTACGGGCAGGGGACGGGGGATGGAGGCAGCGATGTGCAGTGGGTGTCACACCAGGGAGCCAGGGCAGGGGAACCAGGGACAGAAGAGTGGGGAGCAGATGGCATCCCAGCTGTGCTGGCACGCCAGCATTCCCCTCCTGAGCCCTTGCATTGACTCAGAGCCAGCTCCGGACCTGCTCCAGGAAAGCTCTGGGTCCGGGAGAGCAACAGCACTTCTGGGATCAGCCCTATCGCTGCCTGCAACGCCCGTGGGATTCCAGCCCCATCGCTGCCTGCAATGGGTGGGCGATTCCAGCCCACATGGGTCCCACATCCTCAGGGACTCCCGGCACCGGGTCACAAGACGGCACAGCTGGGAAGGAAAGCGAAGGCAGGGGAAGGGAAGGGAAGGGAAGGGCAGGCAGGGGAAGGGAAGGGAAGGGCAGGCAGGGGAAGGGAGCGTCGCCTCGCAGGCAGCCAGCAGGCAGGGCTCACCCGCACTTCCTTGTAGAGGCGCAGGCAGGTGTGGTTGAGGATGAAGTAGCGGTCGTGGAAGCCGGTGCTCAGGCCGAGCCCCAGCAGGTTCCTCTCCTCCCGAAACTTCATCATGCCGTGCTTGCAGTCGCCCACTCTGCTGGCTGGGGGCACACGCCTGAGCGGCTCCGGCCCCCCAGGGGGGGTCAGGCCCCCCAGGAAGGGCGCGGGGTGCAGCTAGACCTGGTCCCGCAGGGCAATAGCAAGGGCAACAGCAAGGGCAACTCCCCCCTTCGCCCCCAGCACCGCAGCCCACCGGCCGCTGCCTGCTCCCAGCCCAGGCAGGGCAGGCAGGACCATCTCCTCCAGTGCACTGTGCATGGCATCCAGCCCCGACCCCATACTGGGGGGCTCCCAGCCACACACTAAGGGGGCTGGTGCCCGCTCTGCTTGCGCGGCCAGGTAGGATGCAGCCTTGGGATGGTTGATGCCATGGAGATTCTCCACAGGGTTACAGCCGGCAGGACAGGGAGCTGTCCCCATCCCCATCCCTGTCGCCATCCCTGTCCCCGTCCTAATCCCCATCCCCATCCCATCCCCATCCCCGTCCCTATCCCTGGCCCCGTCCCTATCCCTGTTCTCCCTGCCCGGGCCCTGGCCCCCCCAGCTCCTCACCGAGGTAGATGAGCATGTTCTCCATGGACATCTGCTTCTTCACCACCAGGTAGCTCTCTGTTCCCAGGCAGTGCAAAATGGGCAGAACTTTTTCCGAGTAGTGCAAGGGCCGTTCTGTCGGGCAGGGAGACAGGCAGGGGTCAGGCAGCATCCCCAGGGGCTGGCACCCACCAAGGCGGGGGTCACACATGTGTCCCGAGGGTCTGCCAAGGTCCTGCCTGTCTCTGGGCAGACCTCCCATGCAGCACCATCGCCTTTTAATTGGATTCATTTCACGGTGCTGCTGCTTACTAATTGTCCCCTGGGGAGGTGACTTTTGGCCCATGGTACGTGAGCAGCGGGGGACCTGCGGGGACTGGAAGGTGGCTAAGGAACAATTGCCAACAGATATTGCAATTGCAACACATGTATGTTTTGAAAACGTAGGCTGCTGTAGGCAGTATGTAATCTACACACGTGCATGCAAAAGTATGCACAGAGGTATTTCAAACATGCACATTTCCATGCAAGCAAAGGGCGAGTCAAGGATTTCATAGAAGTTCATAGGTGAATATTCAATTTTAGGCTAATCGGCTAATCATTGCCCCTGCACAGCCTGAGGATCCTTTTTATTTTTAAGGGCTGGATGTTGCTTGGCTGAACATGGTGCTTCCCTGAGCAGAGGGGAGAGAGCTTGATGGCTTGGGGTTGGCAAGGACCAAAATGTCTCAGCAGAGGCTTTCAGTGATGCTGGGATCAGCACCCTGCCTGTCTCCCTGCCAGGCACGGTCCCCAGGCACGCTTAGCCCATGAGAGTCGGTGGCAGGAGCTCGAGGCACCAGCTGGCAGGACCAGGGGCTCATCCTGCTCACACCAAGCTCTCACTTGCTGCTGCCTACAGGCACCCCAGGGCTGCCCCCTTGGGTAGCCGGAGAGCCCAGACACCCCCATTAAACTTCAAAAGCATTTGAACCCCTAAGAATGCAGACAGATGCTCTGCGGGTCCTAGCCCAAACCACGCGTCCATCTGCAGTGCTCGGCCACCTGCAACCTGGATGTGGCAAGCAAAGCTGCGGCACTGCAGCCGTCCTCTCCTGAGCGCCTGGAGCCTGTATCAGCATTGCTCCATGGTGCAGTCTCCATGGGAGCCTTCTCGACCCCATCCCCATCCATCTCCATCTCCATCTCCATCCCCATCCCCATCCCCATCCCCATCCCCATCCCCACCACCCTCATGCCCCTGCACCAACCTGCCTCCTCCCTCTCGTTCACTTCGAAGCAGCTCCAATAGTCCTTCTCCTTCATGACGATTTTCCTCCGGTCTAGGATCTCAAAGGTGAGCTCCTCAGCTGTCATTGTGGCTGGGATCTGGGAGGGAGGGAAGGGACAGGTCTCCATCAGCCAGTGCCCAGGGCTGTGCCACCCTTGTGCTAGCTCAAAGCATCTCCCCATGCCACCACAGACATTTGGGCATGCAACAGGGGGTCCCTGTCCCCTCTGTGAGCTCCCCAGGGCTCACCTTGACGTGCTGCTCTGCCTCCGTCTTCTTCTCCTCCAGGTAGACAGTGCAGATGAAGTCCCCGGCTTGCTGGAGGGCAATGGCAAAGCACTTCAACCTGCAGCTTCCCACATGTGGGCTAGATCCCCCCACCCAGCACAGACACTCCCTGCCTGGGGCATCTCCAGGAGATGCTGGAGCAGGCACTGAGGTCCTCATGCAAAGAGGGTGCCCCAGGAAGGTCCTCATGTCCAGGACCCACCTGTGTCCCACTGGATGCTGCCTCCCGCATCTTCATGATGGCCATGATCTCGTCCTGCTGCTTCTTCATCTCTTGGTCGTTGACCTGCCAAAGAAGAGGAGCCCAGGGAGCCATCAGGGCTGACCAGACCACCCTTAAGTTCCACTGCAGAAGCAGACGTGGATCCCCAGGGGAATCTTCTTCCCTGCCCAGCGGTGCTGGCACCTCCATGCTCAGGTGTCTCCAGGGTTTGCAGGGACATGGACCCCCCTCCCCTTGTCTCCAAAGCAAGATGTCTGCAGACAGCTTCCTCCTCTTTCCACCTCCCCATCCCCTGGGAATGTCCACATGTCAGCCTGATCCAGAGCAGCACCAGAGGTGGGGTGAACCTACGTTAAAGATCTTCACATAATGGCTGATGAGGTCTTCCACCACGCGTCCTGCCTTGTAGTCCTTCCCGTCTGTCTGGAAGAGCGTGGGCCCGAAAACGATGGCCAGGTTGTGCGTGTTCATCTGGTTCTCCCCAGAGAAGCGCTGAACCCTACAGGGAACTCCATTAAGATTCCTCTCCCAGGCCCCCCCCTTCAGCCTTGCCAAGGGGAATGCCCCCCACACCAGGATGTGATGCTTGGCTTTGGGCACAGCTTGACCCCAAATCCCCCTCCCTTCCTTGCTTGGGATGTGAGCCAAGGGATGAGGGCTCTCCTCCGCCCCACAGCCTCCCCACGACCCCGCAGCGGACGGGGCAATGCCCCACGGGGGCTTGGGGAGCCTGGGCTCCACCGTCCCGCGGACCTGCCGCCCACGCCATACCGAAAGAGGTGGTTGATGAGCGCCTTCAACGTGGCCCGGTTCACTGTGGGGAGGGTGCCCAGGAGCCTCCGGTACTCGCTGATCTTTGCCTCCTCGTCCTCCAGCGCTGCGAGAGGAGCACGAGGGAGGAGATGAGCGTGGAGGGGCATGAAGTTGAGATTAAGACCCACAGCCCCACCATCCCCTCTCTAGACCCCACCTGGGACCCTTCTGCCCCACTCTGGGGCCGGAGCATCCCAGCTCCATGGGGCCCAGAGCATCCCAGCTCCATGGGGCCCAGAGCATCCCAGCTCCATGGGGCCCAGAGCATCCCAGCTCCATGGGGCCCAGAGCATCCCAGCTCTGCGAGGCTGGAACATCCCAGCTCCATGGGGCCCAGAGCATCCCAGCTCCATGGGGCCCAGAGCATCCCAGCTCTGCGAGGCTGGAACATCCCAGCTCCATGGAGCTGGACCATCCCAGCTGCACAGCAGCGTGGCTCATGGCTGTTTAGCTGCTGGGTGCATCCAACACTGGTATTTAGGGGCCGGATCCAGAAGTGAAGGGCGGAGGGGTCTGGCTCTCTGCCCTGTCTCAGCCCCAGCCATGCCGGAGCACGGGGCTGCATGGGGTCAGGGAGGATGCACTCCACTCCCCACCCACTGCTTGAGCCCCCAGAACATGTGGGGCCCAGATGTGTTCCCCCCACCACATAGCCCAGATGAGAGGACAAATGGGGCTGCAAGCAGATCCGGGGAGCCCGACCCCCTCCTCCCACCATCACCCAGCAGCCCCCCCAGGGCTCACCCGTTGCCCGCAGCCAGTCCTGGCCCCATCGCCCGGTGAAGAGCCCATCCCCGAGGTCACGGAAGAAGCGTTTGAGGGTGTTGGCGACGTCGTCCACCTGGTGCTCGCCCTCCTTCAGGCGGACGCTGCGGGCGTCCCGGCGCAGCATCTCCAGCAGGCTGGTGGTCTTCGAGTTCTGCCCGCTCTTGCGGTAGATGCCCTCGGATGTCAGCCCTGCGGCAGAGCCGGTGGGGATGAGCCGGTACCGCGGCACTTCCCACCCCGCAGGTGTTGCTGCGACCGCCGAGGAGCTGCGGGCTGGAGCCAAATTCCTGCTCCAGCCGGAGCCCTCCCACAGAGCTGGCGCGGATGCTCAGGGAGGGAAACACATGTCGCAAGCGTGTCGGGTCTCAGCCTGCCATACCACACCGATGAGGTGACCCAAATGATGCGCTCTGGTCCCCGCCAGCATCCGGCAATAAGCGATGGCACGTACCGCACTGGGTGATGTAGTCGATGCAGCGGTCCACCAGCAGCGGGACATCCGACTCCGTCAGCTGCTGCTCCGACAAGGTGTCCCCCGCGCTGCCCGCAGCCTTCTGGATGGCGTGGACCCAGCCCAGGAAATCCAGCTTCCTCTCCCCCTGAATGTACAGCGTCCTGCCGGCAAGCCCAGCCTCAGTGGGGGGGGGCCAGCTGCCCCCCCCAAAACCCACTGCATGGCCAGGACCCCTGGGAAGGCTGGCCCTGGGGGCCTGGGGATGGTCCCGACTCTCTTTTGGGGGTCCCCAGTCACCGTGGGGAGAGCCAAGGCACCCCAGGATGAGGGGGGGTGCTCGGGCAGGGTGTGATAATTTGCTGGAGGGGTCTAACCCGCCCCCCCCCGCCTTGGTTCTTACCTCCGCCTCTCCACCAGCACCAGCACCTCATTGTCTCCCTGGATGGCTGGAAGGGAAGGCAGAGAGCCCATCACCTGCGGGAACGTGGGGTCCCCGGCCCCCCCAGCCCCACACACCATGGGGGGCAGTGCCAACGGGTCCAGCTCCAGCCCAAATGGGACAAGCAGTGACTTTCCAGGGATGAGGAAGAGGATGGAAAGGAGGAAGAGTGGCTGCATCCCACTCAGCGGAGGGACCCCACGCTCCATCAGAGCAGCATCCACCAGCCTCCCACCAAAAGCTGGGGTGCAACCCAGCTGCTCGGGGCAGAATTTGGGGGATACCCCCCATCCCCAAGGTCCCTCCCAGCCTGGGGGGGGCCCCGTAGCGGGGCAGGGGCACGCACAGAGCTCCTGCAGCTTGCGCAGCTGGAGAGGCTCCTGCCGCTCGCTGTCCTCGAAGCAGACGTGGAGCGTGGAGCCAGCCAGGGCGAACCAGCCCTCCTTGGCTCGTTCCAGGTTGAGGCCACCCTTGTAGTGCAGCCGGCCGATCCGCTCGAAGTCGAGAGCCAGCAGCTCCTCGGCGCGGGGATGGACGAAGGACTGAGCCGGGGGAGAAGAGGGACCCATCAGTGCCGCGGGACCCGGCTCCCTCCGGCACCCCTGGCCACCCCCAGCCCACCGCATCCTACCTTGGCGATGGACTTGATCCATTCCCGAGCGGAATCGGGGCTCTCCAGCCCAAAGAGGTAGAGCCTCTCTGACTCGATGTAGATCTCAAACGTGCTCTCAATCCTGCGGGAGGGAGGGAAAGGGGAGCCTGGCCGTCCGCAGGCGTTGGGATGGAGCTGGTTGGGTACCAGGGGCATCCCATCCCGGGGGTGAGAGTATCCTGTGGCATGTCTGCCGCCGGCTCTGCCACCGGCTGATCCAGTTTGGGATCCCCCCTCCCACACCTCTGGGTCCTCCAGCATCCCTGTGCTGCCGTGCACGCTCCGATGGGGAGCACAGGAGCTGCAAAGGGATCGCAAAGGGATTGCAGAGGGTCCACAAAGGAGCTGCAGAGGGATTGCAAAGGGATCGCAAAGGGATTGCAGAGGGTCCACAAAGGAGCTGCAGAGGGATTGCAAAGGGCTTGCAGAGGGCTTGCAGAGGGGCTGCAAAGGAATTACAAAGGGTTGCAAAAGGGTTACAAAGGGGTTTACACAGATTCCTTGCAAAGACAGCTGGGTCAGGCATGCCACAAGTGCTGGAGGGGCCAGCGGTGAGCTTGGGGACAGCAGCCCCCCATGCCACCACCTGTGAGCGGCCATGCCCAGCCCTGCAGGAGCGGAGGGGATGTTGGGGTGCTATAGGGCTGCATGTAGGGGTACAGCCTTACCCATGGGCGTTCGGTGGGTTGTTCACCAGGCACACGATCTCCTCCACCTTGATCTCACCATTGGGCATGGCATTGCGGTCGTTCTCGTAGTAGCTGAGGACGCCGTCCTGCAGCGTGCACCACCGCCGGCTGAACTCTGCGCGGCACAGGATGGTGCTGGGCAGCCCCGCACGCTCCGGCCAGCCCAAGATCGCCCACCAGCCCAGCCTGGGTGGCCCTGCAGCACCCACTGGGTGCCCACTCACTGTGACCCCCCACTCCAACCAGGGTGGCCAGGTGATGCTGCACCTCCCTGCTGCCTTTGCAGTGCCCTGGGGAGCAGGGGATGGTGCAATCCCCCCAGCAGCACCCCTTTTGGGGCTGGTTCTGAGCCCCCCACCCCCCTGCACCCCTATTTCCCTGCCCCATGGGCCCCCACGTACCTTCCTGGCCTTTCCGCTCACTGACGGGTTTGGCCATGGAGGGGGTCTTGTAGAGGAAGCCATTGTGGGTGACGGAGGGCAGGGGCACCGAGTAGGGCTTCTCCTCACTGCCCCCCACCTCCAGGCGCGGCGTCTCTGCAAATGGGGTGACAGCCTGTCATGGGGGGCTGGGGGGTGCACCCCCCCTTTAGAAGCCCCCCAAGACTGCTGCTGGTGGGGACCCAGCAGGATGCAGCAGGACCCCACTGGGTCAGGGATGGGGTAACAGTGGTCCATGTCATTCCCTGGGTGCTTTGCTGATGTGACGTGAAGGAGCCAGCTGGACAGGGTGACAGTGGTGACACCGGCCACATTGCCCCCTGCCAGCCCCCCAAAACAGCTGGGTGTGTCCGCCGCTCAGCACAAGAAGCAGGAGCCCAAAAGCATCCCACAGGCTGCACTGCCAGCCCCCACCATGCCACAGCTGGAGTGCAAGGAGCAGCTCCGGCCCCCAAATCTGGGGCTGCCTCGGGGTCAGTGGGGTCTGGCTTATCCGCCGGGAGGGCATCCTGCATCCTGCATCCCACATCCCGCATCCCCCCCTGCAGACTAGCCCCAAGCACTGAGCTGTGACGGGATGAGGAAGTTCTGGGAAGGTGGGGACTGGACTCCCCCTCTGCCGAGGTCTCTCCCGGGCTGTCCCAGGTCCCCGCTGCTCTGCGGGAGGAGAAGGGCAGAGCAACCGCAGTCCTGCAGCTGAAATAACAGCCCAGGGCTCTGCCACAGCCACCCTGTGTGACTATGGGCATGTCCCCCCTGCCTCAGTTTCCCCAGCTTGCCTGCCAGTGAGAGGCACCCCCCTATTTCCTCCGGGGACCAGGCAGAAACGGGGTGCAGGGACACCCCTAAAGCACCCCCAGGGTGGACCACGGGGCTGCCCAGAGCTCTAGAGACAGGGAAACCCGGGAGGATGCAGAGCCCTGCTCCACCAGCCCAGCCCGGCTCCACACATGGCGCTGGGCTCATCGAGCCCAGCAATCCCAGGACTCTGGAGATGGCTGCCAGAGCCGGCCCCGGCAGGATGAGCTCAGGGATTTGGTTTTCTCCAGCTCACCGGGGCAGCCGGGAGGCCTCGCTGCCCTCCCAGACCCCTTTTGTGCTGACATGTCTGGAACAGCAGGGCCAGCCCCAACCCTGGGCAAACTCCAGCTTCCGCGGGACGGACTTGGCCACGGAGGCAGCGAGGGAGGTGACGGCTACGGCAGGCGCTGGCCGGCCCCGGCACACCTCCATTCCAGCTGCCCGAGCTTTCCAGGGCCGGAGGCTCACTCCGTGTTAGAGCCTGGATCAGTCCCGTGGGAGCCGTCAGCCCACCCGGAGCAGGGCTCGGTGGCGTGGGCACATTAACTGCACGGGAGGGGGGGGTTTAGGGGGATGCTCTGCAAAACGGTCAGATCCCCCTTGGTCCTTTTGGGGATGCTGAAGGTGGGGGCTGCCCGGCTGGTAGGGGTACATCCCCCCGAGGCTGCAGCGTGCCGGGACGGTGCGGCAGAGCTGGCCCAGTCCCTCCCAGTGCCCAGAGCACCAGCCTGCATCCCCACTGGGACTCTGGACCTGCGTCCCTGGCTGGGATAGAGCCTTCCTCCCTGGCCCCCACCCAGCCCTGACCCAAGGGCACGGGGTCTTCCCAAAGCCCCTCTCCTGGGGTGCACAGAGCCCAGCAGCGCCAGGCAGCCGGAGAACCCCATGCCAGGAATCTGCTGGGCAGGACACAGAGACGAGTCCGGCTCAAAACATCCCTGTGTCCCCAGGGACACCCCAGCAGCTCTCTCCCCCGGCTCCAGGAATGCCAGCGGTGGGTTTAAGCCCATGGGGGTTTCAAGGGGTCAGCCCTTACCGGAGTTTTTGTTGTGGAGCAGGAACTCCATCTGCAGCCTCTGCCCGCTCTTCTCGGCCAGGGCCAGGGGCGTCGGGCACTGGGGGTCTCCGGTGGCACAGGTCACCGCCGCCCCGCAGAAGAGCAGAGCCTGCGTCTCCGCCAGGTCACTGGTGGTGACGGCCACGCACAGAGCCTGCGGCAAAGCCGGGAGGGTGGCGGGTGAGGCCGAAGGCTCCCGAGGAGAAGGAGGAGACCCTTGGCGAGGAGCCACACCGGCAAAAGGAGCCGGGTGGGAGCTCGGCGAGCAACCGGACCCCCGCCGCCTCCCGGCCGCCTCGGCAGGACAAAGAGGCTGGAACTGGGAGAAAAAGTTTGGAGCGTGCGGCGACTCCCTCCCTTAAGGAGCCGGGGTGAAGTCATAACGGCAACGGGGCGGGACAGGCTAGCCGGAGTAGAAAAACAAACAAGCCCACATGCGAATTCCCGCGGCCACCCGGGCCCCCGGCGCGCCCCCGGCTCTTGTGCAAACACGGCAGCGCCGAAGGCAGCCGGCGGAGCCATGGCGGAGCACGGAGACGAAGGGCCGGCGGCCGGAGCGCCGGGATGGCGTTCCCTGTGCCGGTCGTGCGAAGCGGCATGAAGCCCCAGTCTGGCACTCTGCCCACGGCTGGGACTGGGTGCCCTGGGCAGGGCTTTGGGGGGGTGCTGGCCAGGCACCTCTGCCCCCGCCGCCGTGGGGTGCTCTGGGGAGCAGGAGGGGCTTCGAGCTGCTGCAACCAGGGCATCCCCCCAGCACCAGCCCTCCCTGAACCCCACTCCAGCCCAATGCTGGACCCCAACGCTGTTCCCAAGCCAGGGAGAGATGAACCGTGGGGATGTCTGGCTGCGGAAGGGGGGATCCCACCTCGGACCGGGCTCTCCAGCCTGGAAATGAAGCTGGTTGTGCCCCATCCCAGAGACGTTCACCCTGTCCCCGCAGCCAGCTCGTCCCTCCTGGAGACCCCAGGCTTTGGCTGGGGGTGCACGGTGGGGACATAGGGTGTGCAGTGAGGGCTGGGGTGATACAGGCAGGGGTACAGGCAGGGAGGGAGGGTGGAAAACCACCCAGCCCCATGTACGGGGCCAAGCAGCCTGCTCAGGCAGAGACCTTGCTCCCCAGAACAGCCTCGGGACCCCAGCTCAGCACCACTTAGCACCCAGGCAGGACCCCCGAGACGGTGCCCGGCCCGGGGGGCCACTGACCCTGTCGAGTTCCTCCTGGTTGCCGAAGAGCGGGTGGTAGCGGCGGTACTTGCCCTCCCGGTATTTGGCAATGAGGAAGCGCCTCCTCTCCTGGCTGCTGCTGGCGGGAGTGATGGCCTCACTGGGGGGCACATTGGCAGCCCAGAACTGGTTGGCCACGGCATTGCCGATCTGGTGGAAGAGCTGCGGGGACAAGGAGAGGCCGATGGGACGGTGCTGCCGGGGTATGGAGCGTGGCTGGGCGTGGGAGGGGGGGCTTTGTGGGGCTTCTCCGGGGGTCTTTGCTGGGGCAGGGACGGGGGGATGAGCACGGCAGTAGACATTCACAGCCCAAAGTTGCTGCATTACTGCTGCCCGGGAGAGCAGCGGGGTGCAGGCAGAACATAAAGGGGATGACGGGTGGTTCACAGGGACCACGGGTGGGCAGGGTGCAGGAGCACGCACCCACTGCAGGCACGCAGGGCTGCTCCCTGCGCAGCCCCGTGTTCCGGCAACAGCGGCGGCTCAGTCCCGGCGTCTGGCAGCCCCCACCACCTCTGACCCCCCTTCCTGCCCCGGAAAATCTCATCTGGAAAGCAGCACCCAGCTGTGGGCGAGGAGGGGGCGATGCTCAGCATCCATTGGGGTGGATTTAAAGGGCTTTCTGCGGCCCCTCACCATCCTGCTGCCCGACACCGAGCAATGCTCAGCCCACCATTAAGAGGTTTAGCCCTGTCTCAAGGACCCCCACGTTGCTCCAGCAAGCCCATGGGGTGCTCTGCCAGCACCCCTGAGCTTTTTGGGGTGGCACGGGTGCAAGCAGGGCCGGGGGCTAGGGAGGGGCTGGAGCAGGCAGGGGGCCAGGGGATGCTGGCAGCAGCTCCCCGCCATTCCGGCGGGGTTCAGGGCAGCCTTCCCAGAGAGGGGAGGGGAAAGGGAGCAGCCGCAGGCAGCAGCTGGAAGCGTTTGGGGGCTCGGGGAGCAGGCGATGCCGGAGGCGGGGGCTGTGCGGGTGGGACGCCAGGCAGGAATGCAGGATCCAACCGGGACGGCTGGGAAGAACGGGGCCAGCCAAGGTCTGCCGGCTGGAAATGGCTGCCGGGTTGGGTCTGGTAACAAATCCCGGCTCCCCCCCTCCCCAGCCCGCCCCGGCGCTGGCTGCGCCGACGCATTCCTCCGCGCCGGCGGCCGCACCGCTTCGGGGGGCTGCTCTACTGCTTGGCCCCAAACCCTGGCCCCAGGGCTCTGCAGCCATCTCCCCACAGACAGACAGACGTCGTCTGTCTGCAGCACGGACACACAAGTGCCGCTTGTCCTCGCCAGCATGCCCGGGTGGGTGCTGGCCGGCCGCAGGCGGTGGGGATGGGGATGGAGGGCTGCTGGGGGTCCCCTCCTCAACCAAGCCACACCACCGTGTCACCCTCAAGGGGCTTGGATCAGGCCGGAAAAACCCTGCCGTGCTCCTGCAGTCCCTGGCCCGTAGCCAGTGGGTCTATTATGGGGACGGGGATGGTGTGTCTCCCCCCAGTAAGGTCTTTTGGGGTTGGTCTGTACCAATACCTCGATCAGCTCCTCCGTCCACACCTTCCTGTCCATCTTCAGGCTCCGGACTTTGGTGATGCTGGGGCCCAAGCCCCGGTGTTCCCCTGCCAGTGAGATGAGCCATTAGGGACCCGTTTTGGGGTGGGAGAGGCCGAGCCGCCGGGGTCCCCCAAGCCTCGCTGCCCTGCATCCCTACCCAGGGCAGGGGATGCCCGGCCCCTTCTCTCCCCTGCCGGGATGCAGGTACCTGCACATCTCTTGCAGATGACGACGCAGAGGTTGATGGAGGCCCAGTCGGGCTTGGGCGAGCCGCAGTCGGCGCAGAAGCGGTTGGACTCCACCGCCCAGATCCTCTCCGCCACCTCCGAGTTGGAGAGAGCCTCGGCGATGGACTGCTGCATGGCTTCCACCCACTCCTCCTTCTCCTGGTCCGAGTCGGCAGAGAAGCTGCCGGCGGGGACAGGGATGAGGGACGGCATGGCCACGGGGAGGGGCAGCACCGCCGGCACCCCCTCCCCTCCCTCGTCTCACCTGAAGATCCTGTACGGCGTTGTGAGATCGAAGCCCCGGCGGTCCACCTCCTTGACGTTCCCCACGTTCATCTCGATGTAGGTGATGCCGATCCCCAGCCGATAGTCCTGGTGGGCAAAGGCGGGGTGGGGTGAGGGAAGGTGGGGCGGGGGGGTTACGGATGATGCACTGCCTGCAGGAGCTGGTGCTGGCACTGCCACCCGCACGCCGCACCGGTGCTGGTGGCTGCGGGTCCCCGTGTCCCTTGCCAGCCCAGCTCCCAGCCCCGGGGGTGCACGGGGAGCCACAGGCTCTGGAGCAGCTGCAGTGGGTGCGATGGTCATGGGGGACCCCGAGGCTCAGAGCTGGCAGGGAGGGGGACTGCAGCCTGGGGGTCACCAGCCTGCGGGGTCTGAGCCATCCCCATTTGGGGGTGGCAGCTCCGGGGTGTCCCAGCTCACTGCCGCTCTGCTCAGGCTGTGGATGCGAAGGGAAGGGGTCCCCCTCGAAATGGCATCGGGGTCCCCCGTGGTGCCACAGCCCCCAGGCGCCAGCCACCCACCTCCGCATTCTTGTAGAGGAAAACTTTGTCCCCGGCCACCGCCACGAACAGCTTGTGCTTAAACCCTCGCAGCTCCAGGAAGCCGCTCTTGTCAGCCAGGTTGGCGGCACCGCTGGTGGTCGGGGACATCAGTGTCCTCTCCAGAGCTTTGCTCTTCCGCTCCTCCGCGATCTGCTGCAGGGTCCGTATCCACTCGTTACGGTCCGCTGCGGGGCCGGAGGGGAGACGGGTCAGGATCAGCCTGGGGCCAGGAGCCTCCGGGACTCATCCCTTGGGTCAGGGGAGGGGGAGCAGCTGGGGCCACCCAGGAGCAGGGACCCCCCCCCCAGACCTGTCGCTCACCGTCACTCTCAGCCCGAAACACGAAGTTGCGGTTGTTGGTGATGACCTCGAATTTCTGGTCCCCGATGCTGGTGACGCGGGAGATGGAGGAGACGGGGATGAACCGCTTGGAGTAGGCATCCTGGGGCAGGGCAGGGGAGGGGAGACACACAGCTCACCACCGCGGCCTCAGGGAGATGGGATGGGTACCACCCCGGGCTCACAATGCTGACAGCGTCCGTGTCCGGGAGGCTCCGAGCATCCCACATCCCACCCCGGTGCTGGCATCACCCCAGCACCCATCTGTTGCTGCTCCCCGGAATGCTGCCCTTCGGCACGGCCACATCTCACGGCCGGGATGCCCGGAGGGATGTGGTCCCTCTGCGGCAGCTCCTCCGCCACCTTCTCACCGTGAGCCCCCAAATCCTCTCTCCCTACTCGCCTTTTCGCTGTCAAAATAGCGGAGGTAGTCAGCGTCAAGCTTCACCCAGCGCTTCTGGTAGATGTAGGACCTGGGAAGGGACCAGAGGGACCCGTTGGAGGGGATGGGGTGACCCAGCTGCACCCTCCACGTTGGGACAGGCACCCGAGGCCAGTGCTGCTCCCGAGGGGACTGGGGTGCAGGAAGGGTGCTGTGAGCCCCCTGGGGCTGGAGCAGCCCCCCTCCCCGCTCGCCCCTTGCCAGCCCCAGCCCCATGGCACGGGCTGTGCCATGCCAGGCAGCCCCGGCAGCTCCGGGCTGCACCGTGCGCCCTTGAACTCGGGGCGACTCCGCTCGTGTGTTCACGCCCCAGTTGCCAAAAGCCTGGGGCCACCTCGCCATCGATCCTGCGCCGTGTCCCCAGCCCTGGTGTCACTGATGGGGACAGCGATGGGGACTTCGTGCTTTCCTCCGGGCACCAGTTAAAACATGGAGCTGGGAAAGGGGGCTGCCCCTAAAAGCCCCCCCAAATCCCTATTCACAATTACTGCTCAGGACCTACAAGCTGGTGAGGGTTCAATCCAGGGGACACATGCCAGGCAGGGCTGGTGGCACTCTTGCATGGCAGAGGGATGGGGACGAATGGGAGAGGGGGGACCCCAAGGCTGGGGCAGAGCCCACCAGGGACCCCTTCGCCCTCCCCAGCCCAGCACGCAGACCGGCCACACAGCACGGGGCAAGGCATTAAACCCTGCAGCCCATCCACCCCGGCATCAGGGCTGCAGGAAACGCCAAGCCACTTCCCACCGCCAGCCCCCGCTCCGACAAGCCCTGCGATGCAGCCCCCCACCAATGCTGCACCCCCAGGGCCCCCCCGCCGCTGTGCCAGCCCCAGCGGCTGTTGCTTAAGGGTTTGTTTGCTCGGGAAGGATTTCGCCATCGCTGCACGTGATCCCGGCGCTCAGCCTTTACGTAACCAGCAACAGCAACCAGGATTAAAAGCACTCGGCTATCCCGCTCCCCGTCAGGAGTTCGTCCCTGTCCCATGGGGTGCAGAGACCCCCAACCCTGCTCTGCCCTCCAGCTGCTTTTAGCTCCTGAGGGGTTGGGGTTTCTGGGTTTTCTTCCATTGCCTTCCCCAGGCTTCGGCTCCCCTCCAAGCAGCGGCCGGAGCAGCTTCCCCAGCTTCCCAGGGACCTTCCAGCTGCTCTCACTTCCCCAGCAGCCAGGCTGCTCTGCTGCAAACAGCCCGAGCTTCCTCCTCCTCGGCAGGACTGCAGCCTCAGGGCTTCCTCGTAGCCCAGATTAAGCAGCCCCCAAATATCCCTCATGTCTCCTGCTTGATTTTTACCCCCCAGCTGGCATGGTGGCTCGCTGACCTGGTTCTGTGCTGGGATGGGGGCAAGCATGCTCCCTGCGTGCACTGGGCTCACTGAGCTCGCTGGGCTTACTGGGCTCGCTGGGCTACTTGTATTCGCTGGGCTCACTCTGCTCGCTGGGCTGCTTGTATTTGCTGGGCTTACTGGGCTCACTATGCTCGCTGGGCTCACTCTGCTCACTGGGCTTACTGGGCTCGCTGGGCTACTTGTATTTGCTGGGCTTACTGGGCTCACTGGGCTCACTATGCTCGCTGGGCTCACTCTGCTCACTGGGCTACTTGTATTTGCTGGGCTTACTGGGCTCGCTGGGCTACTTGTATTTGCTGGGCTCACTGGGCTACTTGTATTTGCTGGGCTCACTGGGCGCACTATGCTTGCTGGGCTCACTATGCTCGCTGGGCTACTTGTATTTGCTGGGCTTACTGGGCTCACTATGCTCGCTGTGCTCACTGGGCTCACTTGCCCTCGAGCAGACAGACACGCACCCAACAGCTCCCATAGTTTTACTTCTGCAACCGGGCGCTCTGCAACCCAGCAGTTCTGCATCGTGAGCCGCCGGGGTTGGGGCTGGCATCCCGCAGGCGCTGCCAGCAACATCTCCTCCCGTGGCAAACACGGCGAACGCCAAACCCGCCAGCCTCCGGCAGAGGAACCGGGGCAGCAGCGCCGTCAGTAGGAAACCAGCCCAAAACGCCCCACTTCTCCCCCATCAGCTGCTTTCCCAGGTCACTGCTATTTCAGGGCTTCCCCAGAGCAAAGGCAGCTCGTTTCCCAGTGAGCCCAGCCCATGGCATGGAGCTGGGGGAAGTTCGAGCTGCAGCCTTCCCTCCTCCTCCTCCTCAGCCGGCACAGTGCTACCGTTGGTGACACCCGCTCTGAGGAAGGCCCTTTCACCAAAAATGAGTGTTTTTAACCTAAATCAGGGGGTAGGAGGGAGCTGAAGGAACCCCTTGGGATGGCTTCTCACCAAAGCAAAATTACACCCCCCCGTGAGCAGGAATTACAGGTGGAAAAAGCAGGGAGCATCTCCCCTCCGGGGAGGGGCACCGGAGGGGGGGTCCGCGGCCCCCCAGCACGTCACTCACCCCTGCGGCGGGTTCTTGTCCAGCCACCCCACTTTGATGGTGGGCGAGAGCGGGGCGGTGGCGGTGGTGCCTTCCATGCCGTCGCCGAGCGTGCCGGGGCTGCTGCCGGAGAAAGCGGGAGCGGGCAGGCGTGGGCTGGGGCCGTTGTCACTCCAGCTGCTGCCACTGCTGGGGACGAGGAGCCGAGGGAGGGGGTTAAGAGCTGGCGGTTCGCCGCGGGTGGGGGGCAGGCACGGCCCCCGCCACACGCTTCGGCCTCCCCTTGCCCTTCCCCAAGGCACGGGCAACGCAAGCACCGGCTGTTTGCAAGCAAGGACCCTGGTGGCAGTCCCCTTGGTGGGGGTCCCGGCACGTCCCCCAGCTCCTGGGACAGCAGACACCCGGATCCCAGCCCTGGGAAGGGGGACGGGGGCACCCCCAGGGCCACAACCCCAAATTCAGAGACGTGCAGAGTTACTCTCTGCTCGTGCACACGCACACGCGCTCCCCCCCCGACCCCGACGAGTACTGACAGTGTGTGCGCGCACACACGCATCCCGGGAAGCCATGCAAACACAAGAAGTCCTGACCTGTGCACACACACCCCCCACCCCATGCACAAGCACTCTCTGCCTGTGCTTACATGCACACACACGCACGCACAAGCACCCCCTGGCACGTGCACACATATCCCTTGCCTATACATGCACCCACGCACATGCATGCATCACCCACTGTGCATGCGTGCGCACACACACACACACAAGTACCCCCACCCAGGCATTTGCATCCCATCCATGCACACGTGCACACCCCCCGCTCCACAAGCATCCCCAACTGCGCGCACACACACACACACGTGTGTGCACACGGACAACCCCTGCCCACGTGCAGGCGTACAGATTCCCCGCCTGCACGTGCACGCACACAAGCGCTCCTGCCCTCGTGCGCTCACGCGTGTCCCCTGCTTGTGCACACACACACACACGCGGGGCAGACGAGTTCCTACTTGGCGGGGGGAGCATCGTAGTAATCCTCGATGAGCTCGTCCTCGCTGAAGAGGCTGTTGGCGCGCAGGGACCGCGGCTGCCCTGTCACGGGCTCAGCATCCTCCTGCGGGGACAGAGGTGGTTGACGGGGGCAGCCCCCTGCCCTCCCCGCTGCCCAAAGCGGGCAGCTCGTGGCGGGGTCCCCTCGCTGACCCCCTTCCCCACCTGCCCTGCACCGTGAGGGATGGGCAGGGGACAGACTGAGAAAGAGGGGACGAGATGCAAAGCCACCATCCATGGTTCCCGGCTCTGCAGATGCCCGCAGTGCCGGGAGGTTCCCCGGGCGCTGCCGGACCCAGGGAAAGGGACACGCTCCTGCCCGCAGCGGGACAGAAGCACGGCCGTAGGGAGGAGCTGAGCGCCAGGCTGGTTATTTATAGCAACCAAAAAAGTCCGTGCTTGCTGAGAAACCCTGCATTTCCCCTTCGTTGGCCAAGGGCGGACGTACACACGTGGCTGAGAGCTGTCGGGGGGGTGGCGGGAGCTGCAGGTTTGGGGGTGAAGGCAGGACCAGGCAGAGGGGAGCCTCTGCCAGCAAGGTGCCACGGGTGTTTATCCCCAAGCCCTTGCCCCACGCTGCAGCCCCCCAGGACAGGGGGTGGTGGCTGGGCCGGGGTTAGAGGCAGCCAAGGCACATCTCTCCCCATCAGCCTGTTCCCAGGCGAAGGCGGATGGTGGGGGGTTCCAGGCGCTCAGGGGTCTCTCTGGCTGCTGCAACCCCTCAAATCCATCCAGACCCACCCAAATTCAGCCTCGGGAGCGCAGGGCAGATATAAATCCTAGATCCAGGGATTAAAACCAGGCTGCGATGCTGCAGATGTCCACTAGCACGCACTCTGTGCATGCAAGTTTGCAGAGAGGCTGCCCTGCTCCCCACGGACCCTGGGGCTGCCCGTGGGCCGGTTCCGGCCCCCGTGGGAGACCCAGTGGGTGCTCAGCAAGGTGCAGACGTGCTCCTCCAACCCTAACCGGTATCTCCAAAGCAGCCCAATGCCAGCGCTTCTCCCTCCGGGATGGTGACCCCGAGGGTCCTGCCCGCTCCTGCCCACTGCCAAGCTCTGTGGTGGGACCAACCTTGTCGGCCATCTCCCCCACAGGTCCGGCTAATTCCTCCTCCCAGGCGGAGTCCTCGTAGTCCGAGTCATCTGCAAAAGCGGAGGGAAGATGCTGAGAATCAGCTGGGGTGGAGTTTGAGGGGTCCCGTCACCCCCTGCCACCCCCCTGCCTGTCCCCACCAGCACGGGGACATGTCAGCGCTGGAGCCGGGCAGGGAGGACGCTGGCACGGCAGGTTTCCCCCCTTGCTCTGCCCTTGGCAAACAACCGCTCCGTCAGTGCGACAACAAGGGTTTTATCAAGGAGTCTGGAGAAGAGCAGGGAAGGGCAAAGTCCTGCTGGTGGCAGCTCCCAGCACCGTCACGACCCTCCTGGCACTGCCGAGAGGGGACTTGGGTGCCACCAGCCCCAGCACCACGGCTTTATCCAGGCTCTGGTGCCTCTGCCCGGGAGCCCCTGCTGCTGGGGGGTCCCAGGGGCTTTTCCTACAACTTGTTTTTCAAGGTGGATTTCCCTCCCTCCCCCTCCATTCCTTATCAGCTGTTGGAGAGACTGGAGCAGCGAGTGGCTCTCAAGCCTGTGCACCCATGGGAAATAAGATCCCGGAGAAGGAGAGGAGTGAGGAGCCGGTTCCTCCTCACCCAGCACCCATGGCAGCAGAAATCCAGGCCAGCAAGCACCCATCCCACAGGGGACAAGTGGCCCCAGACAGCCTGTCCCTCGCAGACACCCTCTCCCAAACCCTGGTGATAACCTGGACGAGATTTCTCCTGAAAATCCTAATCCAGAGGATGCTGTTAACATCCAGGGAGCCCTGGTGCTGGCGGCAGGGCGAGGATGCTCCCAGGCTGCATGGGGATGAGGGGTGCGGGCAGATGCTCTCCCTGGGCATGTCCCTACAGGGACCCCCCTGCTGCAGACTTTGCAGCACCCAAAACTTGCTGGCTTTTGGTGCAGAGGAGCAGCTGACCCATGGGGGCACGGGGCAGAAGCAGCTTTCCTCCCTGCACCCCCCAACAGAAGGATAACCTTTCTGTCCATGCCTTCTCCTAGCTTTTGAAACACACCCCAGCTCCCAGTTAAACCAGTGCCCCTTCGTGCACAGCTGCTGGTCGGGCTGGACCCCGGGCAGGCACCCAGTGCCCCGCAGAGCCCTGCCCTTCCTCTTCCTTTCAGCGGAGCTATTCAAGCTGGATTGGAGCTATTAAATAAAGAGGCAGATAAAACTGAGTTATTGCTGTTACAGCCCCCAACCAGGGCTGCTCCCCAGGCAATGCCCTGGGACCGGAGCTGTGCCCCTCCACGGGGGTCCCCAACTCAGCATCCCTCCCTGCAGCTGCTCGAGCCCTGGTGTCCCCCCCGAGGAGGGGGCTGGTGGGCACAGAGAGCTTCTGAAGGCTGCACAGGGGGTGGGGGGGTCCCAGCAGCAGGGCTGAGAGCTGTGTCCTGCTCCTGCCGTGCTCCCCCAGCAGCCTCCAGCCCCCACCGGCCGCAGCTCGGGGTCATCTGAAGGCGTACGGGTTTAACATCCCTGATGGGTTTATTTTTCCTCCATGAATTGGTGTGGTTGCTTTCCGAGTCTGTGCAAACCCTTTGCTCCCCCTCTCTGGAGAGAGGGTGCACCCAAATCCCCAGCCTGGATCTTGCACCCCATGAGAAACCCCAGCCCAGAAGGCAAAGAAGGGGATGGAGGAGGGAGAGACCCAGGGAAGGCTGGGCAGGACAGACGGACTGACTGATGGGGGAGGAAGGCACAGCACCCATGGGATGGGTGGTGGTGGACGGGGAGACAGACCCAGCCAGACATCCCAAGGGAAGATTTGGGACAGGGGAAGATTTGAGGGGCCCAGGGTTGGCCCCCCTCATACTCACCGAACTCGGGCACGAAGGGGAGGTTGGCCTTGGAGGGCAGCTCCGGCGGCAGTGGGGCCGGTGGCTTCGTGCGGGGAAGGAGGACTGGCGGGGATGGGGGGACTGTCAGGGGTGCTCTGTCGGGGACGGGGACCTCCTCTTTGGCAGGGATGCTGCGGGAGAGAGGAGCAAGCGCTGCCTTACACCGGCCATGGACCTCCCCTGCCCTGCTTTCCAAACCCCAACGCACCCGCGGCTATCAGTGTGGGGTCCCGGGGTGCAAGAGGACCCCCAGCACAGCCAGCTTGAAACTCCCCTCAAAGGGATCAAACACCCCAAACCCCAGCAGACCCAAGCCCACAAAACAATTCCTAACAGCCTCCCATGGCAAAGGCTTCGCCTTGCTCAGGTTATACCGGTGCTTTACCAGCCTGAAAATATTTTCTGGCATCCAACCTCACTTGCCTGTCGCTGCCGCCGCGGCTCAGGTTCCTTCTCTGGCTCTCAAGGACACCAGAAGCCGCCTACAGCCTTGAAGCCCACGTCATGGATCAGGTTGTTGGTTTTTTTTTTTCCTCCTCCAGTCTAAACAACGGCGGTGCTGCTTCCTCGACTGGTTTGCAGGTGGCCATGGGGTCCCCCGAGCGGGACGGGGGTCCCGGGGATGTTCCCTTCCTACCAGCGTCCCCACAGTGGGGTGGGCACAGGAGATCTGGGGCAGCGAGAGGCCCTCTGGAAATGGAGCCTTGGGCTTCTCCTGGGTCAGTGAGCAGCACACCGTGCCCCCAGCCCCAAAACCTTGGCCAGGGGAGGAGAGGGACCCCGGGGACTCTCCTCCTGCCTGCAGAGCCCCTGGGAAGCCAGGCTTGACCACTCCTGCCTCCCGTTCTCCGTTTGCTTCCTGCCTTCCCGACAATCGCAGGCAGACAGGCAATAAATAGAAACCTCTGGGGTTATGGTATTTTTAAGGGCAGGAAATTAAGAGGAAGTTTCTTCGGGGTATAAAAATATGAGGCACCTGATTGACCAGCCCTGAAGTCAGGGAGAGGGCAGAGGAGGCAGGCAGAGAGCGGGCAGCTCTGCCTGCTCCCAGCCCGAACCCCTCGCAGCCCCACAGCGAGCCCCAGGGGACCCACACGCTGGCACCGAAGCCACCGTCCCCATCCCTGACCCCGCTACCTCCCACCGCAGCCCCAAGCCGGAGCGGCCGGTCCATGACCCATCCCACCGAGCACCGAACCCCGGCACGGCTAACGGCATCGCCCCACAGCCACGCTGGAGAAGGCTCAGCACGGCCACGGCTGCCACCAGCACCCAGCGGTCCCTGGGGACGGCCAACCCTGGTGACTCCCAGCCCCACGGCTGGTGCACGAGAGCTTTCCCCCAGCTCGGGGGTGAGCTGCGGAGAGAAAACTTCTCCCTCGGCTGCCCGCACCGGAGCAGGGGGAGGATGGCAAGCGAGCGTTGGCTCTCCTCTGGGTCAGGCTGACCTCATTTCTCAGCAGCCATTTCCATGGGAACCAGCCACAACCATCCATACATTAGGGAATGCTGGCAAGGGAGGGCAGGGGAGCGCAGGCAGGAGAGCGTGGGCAGCGAGCTGTCCCGCAGCCCGGGGCAGCAGCATTGCTCCCAGCAGCCCCAGGCAGGGGCTTGCTGGGGTGGGGGGGCTGCCACCCAGGGGTGTGGGGGACACAGGGACAGGGAGGTGACAGTGTGCAAGCCACAGAGCCCCCCCCACCCCGGGCAAGAGCCCGGCTGGGGTCTGCATCTCCACGGCCACCCAGGATGGTGTTTGCCCCCCACAGACCGGGGGTGGGGGGCTGCGGTGCCAGCCCCAAGGTCAGCAGTGAGCCGACGGTTCCCCGGCTGTCTCGTTTTCTGCAGGCACGGCACGACGGCCAAGGACAACCTCTGTCTTCTCGTTGGGGATATCTCAGGAGGGTTTAGGAGGAAATTGTTTCCACCCCTGCCCACTCCCCCCCCCGCCGGGGGCTTGCAGGACAGGCAGCCACAGAACCCAGGCGCAGATAACACCCCAGTTCCCCAAAACACCCTCCCCGATGCTCTGGCCACTCTCCAGGTCATCCCCAGCTGCACGAGCATCCCTGGGCCTCGTGTCCCCCCACGGCTCTGTAGGGCGGCGTGGGTGCCCCATCATCTCCCCCACCCCCTGACCCCCCCCCACGCTGCAGCCATGCCCAAAACCAATGCCGATCCTGCTCCGGGCAGGGTCAGGCTGGTGCAATGTCTGCCGTTAGAGAAGTGCCAACCGGCGCTTTATCTGCTGTCCTTCTCCCCACCAGCAACAGCTCGGCTGCCCCCCCCCCGCCACGGCCAAGCTTGGGGCAGCGGGGGGGCTGCTCTCCCGTAGGCAATGCCACCTCAAAGCCAAACCACTGCCGGGGCCACCGCCACCCCCCAGTCCTGGGCAAACACGGAGAAGGAACCTTCTGCCATCACCTTCTTGGACATCGCTCACTGCCCTCCTACACCCCACCCCGGGGATCAACCCCCCCCAGCTGCTTGGGGGGGGCTGCTTTGCACCCCAGACCATCCCCCAGGCATGGGCAGGGGGTGCCCTCGTCGAGAGCCTCACCCCGTGATCGGGGTGCAGACGCGAGCACCCACCGCTGCTGTGGGTCGGAACCATCAGTGGCCAAAATCGGCAGTGGGGGAGGAGGGGGGAGGCCCATCAAATCCGGCTGCTTTTGGGAGCTGGTGAGAAGCGCTCGGCGTCGAACGCGGTGGCCGCCATCACCTCATGGGAGGTGGCATCGCGGGGGTTGTCGCCGGACATCCCGCACCCAGCAAGGCTGAGACGTCCCCGTCACCTCCCATTCCCTGGCACAGGGATGCCCGGGGTGCACCAGCACAGTGGGACCCTGGGGGCTGGGGGGGGACAGACGGTGGGACCCCGAGGTGAACGCAGCATGGAGGAAACCACAACATGACGCTCGCCCTTGGCAGCTCAGACCCCCCCCAGCCTGGCCCCGAGCCGCTCTTGCAAAATGCCAACCACCCCCCCACCCTGGGCCGTTTCCCCTGGAGGGGGTGGGCAGGAGGGTGCGGGCACGGGGCCCCCGCAGGGCGGCCACCGCAGCAGCCAAACCCCACGCCGCGAGCGAGGGGCCAGGAGGAAGCGCCGGGGACCACGGCAGTGCAGCCAGAAGCAAGGGGAGCCGGGTGGGTGGCATCACCCCAAAATGCCGGGCTGCCGCAAAGGCCCCCACCCCACCACCGGGTCCCTCGTTTTGCCCCAGGCTGCCTGCTGCCTGCACAGGCAGGGATGCCTCAGCTCTTTCCTGGACCTCGTCCTCGGACATCCCTCCCTTGGGGGCACCCCCGCCTCCGGGGGGGGTTTATGGTGAGGGGCTCATCCCCCCACAGAGCCAGGGCTGCCAGGGCCAGACCCACGCAGCAGCCTCGGTGCCTGCTGGCAAAGCAGCCGGGCAGGAGCCAGAAATGCCGGCATCAGCCTGGATGCAGCAGGCGTCACCCCCAGCATGGGCAAGCATCACCCTGACGTGGGCAAGCACCACCCCAGTGTGGGCAAGCATCATCCAGACATGGGCAAGCATCACCCTGACGTGGGCAAGCACCACCCCAATGTGGGCAAGCATCATCCAGACATGGGCAAGCACCACCCCAATGTGGGCAAGCATCATCCAGACATGGGCAAGCATCATCCCTGATGCAGGCAAGCATCATCCCTGATGCAGGCAAGCATCACTCCGCTGCTTTAGGTCCCTGGGCGGGCCGGCAGCATCCCCCACAGCCCCAGGGACCTCCGTGCTCACCAACCGCAGGCAGCCCAGGGCAGGTCCCCGACCATCGGGGCAGGGGAAGGTGTTTCGGGGCCGGCAGCAACACCCCTGCGGCCGTGGGGTTCCTTCGGTCCCAGCCATCGGGCACCCTGGTGCACGTCACCAAAGCTGGGCGCCCCGTTACCCCCAGGGGAGCCCAGGGAGCCGCAGCGCAGGCAGCTCGCGGAGCATCCCAGCACATGGCACCCCGCACGTGGAGCCGGGACCGTGGCTCACCGGTGGCTGAGCCTGCACCAAACAGCCGCCATGGGCTGACTCACGCCTGCGCCCGCCTGAATGCGCCCCTTGTCTGGGCTGGCGCTCCCGCACCGCCGCACCTCCTCCATCGCCGGGCCTGGCTGGGCACCGGCACTGACACCGGCACCGGCCCCAAACAGACCCGGTCCCTGTGCACGCGCCCATCACCAAGGCCCAGCACAAGGCCATACCCTGCTGTATACATCCACTACAGGAACCAAGTGTGTGCCTGCTATAGCAACCAAGCACCAGCTTACTGGATATATATGCTAGAGTAACCAATTAACTTATCCATACCCTACTGTATACACCCACAAGAGCAATCAAGCATCAGCACATACATACCCTACTGTATATATCCACTGTAGCAGCAAGGTATGTATGCTACGGTATACACCCACTGCAGTTACCAAGCACCAGCGCATGTACTCGAGGATATATTTATGCATCATTTATACCTGTAATGTATACACTACACATGCACCAGTGCACGCAGAGCGCTGGGGTCCCGCCGTCCCCCAGGAGCCTCAGCGGAGCCTGATGAGCGCAAACTGCTCAGAACCACAGCCCAAGCCGCTGGGGCGGCCGTCCCTCTGTCCCAGCCGGTGCTGCTCAGCCGCCGGCACCCGGCGAGGAGGACGCCCGTCCCCTCCGGCGCTGGACACGTCGCTGCCAGCTTGAGCCGAGCTGAGTCAGAGCCTGGCCGGGCGCCCGTCGGCCCTGGCACGCAGCTCACGGGGGACCTGTGCGGACCCCGCAGCCGGTGGGCACGGCTGTGCCATCACCGAAATCCCCGGGGGGGCAAATCCCAGCCCCAGAGCTTGCAAAACGTTCCCGGTGCCATGGCAGAGCTGGGCACCGCCTGCTCGCCGCTGAGCCCTGGGGCAGATGCCCACGTCCCCCAGGGGAGCAGGAACTGCGGGGGGGGGGGGG